CCTTCCAGGTATGGACTGATCACAAAAATTTAGAAGCCCTGAAAACTCCAGGAAACTCAATCCCAAACAAGCCCGCTGGTCCCAGCATTTTCACCAATTCCAATTTAAGCTCAAAAATTTACCAGGAAGAAAGAACTTCCTGGCAGATGCACTATCTCGCATGCCCCAATATAACAGAGCACGAACCACAGACTCTAGACCAATAATGGCAGAGTCACAACTGGCAGCGCCAGTAACCACAAGAACCCAAGCCAAAATAAAACCACAACTGGACAGCCAAACGGGGATTGAATTCAGAAAAAGTTTGGAAACAGATGAGTGGTTCCAGAAAAACAAACATGTGTGCACAATGAGAGACGGATTGCCTTGGGTAGGGGAAAAGTTATATATACCAACAACTCAAAGACTAACTTTCATGCAACTTTGCCATGACACAAAATCAGCATGGCATTTTGGATTTGTAAAAACTTTACACTTAATTAAACGGCAATTTTGGTGGCCATCAATAAAAAAGGACATAGAAAGTTATGTTGCCAGCTGCCCAACCTGTGCATCAGCAAAGAGGTTGCAAGGGAAATCGCCAGGGCTGTTACAACCAGTGGCAAGTCCCTCAGCCCCCTGGAGGGAAATAGCCATGGATTTTATAGTGGAATTGCCTGAAAGCAATGGGAATACTGTTATCTGGACAGTCACGGACCTATTTTCCAAACAGTTGCACTTTATCCCTTGCCAAAAAATTCCCACTGCAAAGGCCTTAGCAAAACTTTTTATCCAGCACATTTACAGATTGCACGGGGCACCCCAACGCATCATCTCTGATAGGGGAGTGCAATTTACGTCTACATTTTGGAAGGAATTTTTATCCCTCTTAGGGACCACTCAGGGACTGACATCTAGCCATCACCCTCAGACAGATGGACAAGCGGAACGCTGCCAGTCGGTACTTGAGCAATATTTGAGATGTTTTTTAAATTTCCAACAGAGTGATTGGACGGACTTACTTCCTTTTGCAGAAGTTGCCTACAATAATGCAGTCCACTCCAGCACAGGCTACACTCCTTTTCAAATAGCCAACGGCCAAAGTTTCAACCCTATGCCAGAGTTAACCCCAAAAGAACCAACGATCCCTTCACTGAAAGAATGGATGGAAAACCTACAAAACACCTGGCCAATAGTCAGAAAATCACTAGATGAAGCTAGGCGGGCATACAAAGCACAAGCCGATAAAAAAAGGGTTGAGCCTACACCATTCATTATAGGAGAAATGGTGTACTTATCTACAAAATACCTAAAGTCCCTACAGCCCTGTAAAAAACTTGGACCAAAATATATAGGACCTTTTCCAATTAAAAGGATCATAAATCCAGTAACAGTAGAATTAGAATTACCCAAAAACCTCAGGCAAATACACCCAATTTTTCATTGCAGCTTGCTGAAAAGAGAGCATCAGTCACCTCTACGGCCAAAAATCCCCCCCCCACCACCTCCAATCATGGTGGAGGGGGAACAACACTTCGAAATAAAAGAGATCCTTGACTCTAGGAGATATCGTGGAACAACTCAGTACCTAGTTGCCTGGAAACACCTCCCTGCCTCACAAAATGAGTGGGTCCATAAACGTCACGTCAGAGCCCCGAAGCTATTGAAGAAGTTTCACACAGAGTATCCTAACAAGCCTAACTAAATTTTTTACTTGTGTTTTCTTTCAGGTGGATCTCTCTTATTGTTAAGAGGGGCCGGATGTCAGAATCCAATTATATTTCATCTTTAATTATCAAACATAGAAACTCCCAATTCTGCCTTCTCTGGATTCTGCCATAAGAGGGAGAAAAGGGGGAGAGCAAAGGGGCTTTATGGCCCTCACTTCCTTCAGCACACTTCAAAGGACTGAATGTGTGTTTATTGTGGCCTCTAAGCTTTAACATATCAAAGAAGAGTAATTGCCTTTCATGTAGTTATCTGAAGTCTCCATCCAGACGGAAGAAGAAAGGGGATGGAATTGTGATACTTGAAACTATCACTGGAAGGGGGGTTGATTGGGTGGGACTACTGGGGAACCCCTTAAAACCTTGAATGGGAGAGCTTGAACCCCAAGTCCTGTCTAGCATGCCTGCAACCATTTTCTCTTAATAAAGGATTCCTGTTGGAAGAGCTATTCCAAGAGTTCTGTCTTCTTAAGATGCAAAGTGGGGTGGGTCCTCACATGCACTTTATCCCTTGCCAAAAGATTCCCACTGCAAAAGTCTTAGCAAAACTTTTCATCCAGCACATTTACAGATTGCATAGGGCACCCCAATGCATCATCTCTGATAGGGGAGTGCAATTTACGTCTGCATTTTGGAAGGAATTTTTATCCCTCTTAGAGACCCCTCAGGGACTGACATCGAGCCATCGTCCACAAGGAAATGGTCAATCTGAAAAATTGAATTCAATACTTGAGCAATATTTAAATGTTTTATTAATTTTCAGCAAACAAATTGGACGGACCTACTCCCTTTTGCAGAAGTTGCTTACAATAGTGCAGTCCACTCCAGCACAGGTTACACTCCTTTCCAAATAGCCAACGGTCAAAGTTTCAACCCCATGCCAGAATTAACCCCAAACGAACTGGCGATCCCATCACTGAAAGAATGGATGGAACAATTACAAAACACCTGGCCAATAGTTAGAAAAGCACTAGGTGAAGCGAGGCAGGCATACAAAGCACAAGCCGATAAAAAAAGGGTTGAGCCTACACCATTCATTATAGGAGAAATGGTGTACTTATCTACAAAATACCTAAAGTCCCTACAGCCCTGTAAAAAACTTGGACCAAAATATATAGGACCTTTTCCAATTAAAAGAATCATAAATCCAGTAACAGTAGAATTAGAATTACCCAAAAATCTCAGGCAAATACACCCAATTTTTCATTGCAGCTTGCTGAAAAGAGAGCGTCAGTCACCTTTACGGCCAAAAATCCCCCCACCACCTCCAATCATGGTGCAGGGCGAGCAACACTTCGAAATAAAGGAAATCCTTGACTCTAGGAGATATCATGGAGCGACTCAGTACCTAGTTACATGGAAATACCTCCCTGCCTCATAAAACGAGTGGGTCCATAAACGTCATGTCAGAGCTCCAAAGCTATTAAAGAAGTTTCACACAGAATATCCTAACAAGCCTGACTAATTTTTATACCTGTTTTGTTTTCTTTCAGGTGGATCTATCTTATTTTTGAGGGGGCCGGATGTCAGAATCCAATTATATTTCATCTCTAGTTATCGACTATGGAAAACCCCATTTCTGCCCTCTCTGGATTCTGTCGTACGATGAAGGAAAGGGGGGGTGAACAAAGGGGTTTTATGGCCCTCACTTCCTTTGGTACAGCTTCAAAAGGGACTGAATGTGGATACCACCAAAAGGACTAACCATAACAATGGAGTCATCAGCTTTCATCTACTCCTCTCTAAAGTCTCTTTTCCACCGACAGTGAGGAAAAAGGGGGTGGAAATGTAACGCCGGGGATTGTCACTGGACAGATGGTGGGGTGGGATGGGACTGCTGGGGGCCCCTTAAAACCTTGAACTGTAGGACTTGGGCCCCAGGTCCTGTCTAGAATGCCTGCAACCATTTTCTCTTAACAAAGATGCCTGTTGGAAGAAATATTCCAAGAGTTCTGTCTTCTTAAGATGCAAAGTGGGTTGGGTCCTTACATGGAAGCTAGGAGAAGACAAAGACACGTAAAATCTGCATACCCCACCCAAACCCTGGGAGTCACTAGCCCTAGCACCAGGGAAGCAGGGTATGTGATGGGATTAACCCACCAACAACAGGAATGCTAGAGAGGCACACTCAGGTCAGAATACATGACACAGGAAATACAAAGCCTGAAACAGGAACAGGAAACTACTTTAAACAAAAGGCTCAAGAGGGGTATAAAAACCTACTAGCCACATGTGCTCAAGTCTTCCCCCCCCCCTTCTTTCCTACAAGAACTACCTTGCTGTCTGGCTCTTCAATAAACTGCAACCTTCTTTCTAAAACAGTCGCCATGTTGCTTATTTATCCCCAGCTTGAATGAACCAGGATGAAGATTTTAATCCATCAGTATCCTCCCCCCCCAAAAAAACTGACATAAATTTACGTGGGGGATAGTTGGGGATTCTGCTGAGAAAGTGGCTATCAAAGACAGAGAGAGAGAGGCTTGTCTCAGTGCCCCACACAAACGGTGGTGGTGCCTTTCTGTTGTGGATGATGTCCCCATGGTCTCACAAAACTTGCCTAATTCCTGGTTAAATGCATCTAATAACCAACAATATTTAGTTTTCGGTGACAACATCACCCATCATAACGATCTCCCAACAAACGCCCCCACTGAGGACACAGACCGGCTATACGAAGGCCAGACCGTTCTGATATTATTTTGTTTCTTTGTTGTATTCCCCATTTCCTCTTTCACTGGTTTATTCCCAGTTATTGCACACTTGTTTCTTCTGATGTAGGCCATATCCATTATGATTTAAGGTAGATACTTCTGGACTTTGGACACAAAGTTTAAAAACCTCAACCCGTGAATTTTACATAAAGCTTCCTGGATGAAGAAATTGGAATAGAAAAGAACTTCCTGATAGACAATATTTAGGTCATGTCAGGATTTTTAGTTGACTAGCCTATCATGCCTACTTTTACCTGGGACTTCTAGAAGATTATACACCAGATTGTTACAAAAAAGCAACCTTGGCATACTGTAATGTGCATTAATAGATAAATTGCATGGCTTAGCCATAAAGGTATATTATATCCAGCCTCGTTAACAGAAGGACTCCATGAATTAGGCTACTAAACTGTTAATTCTCTCTCTCTCTCTCTCTCTCTCTCTCTCTCTCTCACCCTCTCTCTCCCTCTCTCCTCCCTTCTAACACTGGCAATCTTACCTAATTGGGTCATGCAATGTCTGTGAGAGAACAACCAACTCAGAGAGCACCAAGGACCCCTCACTTCTAAATAAGCATGCTCACCTGGCTTCCCAGATCTGAACTGCCCAGACGGCCAGCATGCAAATTGTTCATCTGTTGACCCGAATTAGGAGACAGCATAGGAAGTATCAATTGTGAATATGTGCAGAGGGCCCTGCTGACTTTGGGACCTTGCAGAGTCATGGAGGCAGGTTGTGAAAGGGCAGCAAGGAAAACAGCCCACGTCCTAACCCACCCGGGAACGTCCGAGGTCTTTAGGGAAACCCCCCAAAGGGAACATTTTTAGCTACTTCTGCTTTCTCCCTTCTTAGCTACAGTGTGCCAGACTTACGGGGCGAAATCTTGATCTTATGTGTGTCAGCTTTGCCGGGTGGATTGCTTATGTAATCAGAAGGAATAAATACACTGATTTCTTCTCATTCGGAGCTTCTCTCTTTTAGAGGAGCCCATTTTTGTTCAGCTGAATAAAAACGTAAAGCTTAAAGGCAATTTCTGGTTTCCTGTATTTTTTATCAAGCAAAACCTCAGAGCCTGCACAACACAACATTCCAAATTATGGGACTGACCTGCTAATTCAACGCATGGACTACTATCTGAGACAAATGGCTGTCCAGTCTCTTCTTCAACACCTCCAGTGATGGAGCATCCATAACATCTGGTTTCTAACAATAAAAGTTCTCTTGAACCCTGGGCCACTTTCCTTGACCTCCAGAATGTTGAGGTGCACCACAACATCTGCTCACCTCTGAGAAGAAAGCCATCCCGATGGTCTTCACCTTTATATCAGAATGACATAGGTATGTGTTGGTCTGTCTAAACATCAGTTTGAGTTGTGCTGTAGAGAACGTGAACAAGGTCCTAAAAGATCAAGTACGGAGAGATCAGACAAGATCTGTGAGAAGAATCACCAAGGCAGAGAAATCATTATCTGAATCATCGATAAAGTGATTGAACGAATTACTCACTTTAGAGAATTTCTATGGCTGCCCACCCTCCACAGGTGTTTAACAACAGTTCATAAATAAAGAAAACCTCAAAACACAAATCCAAACCAAGTTAAAAATATCCAGGTGGATATATAATGTGGATAAAAACAAGCATGTGGTTATTTAAAATGCCTGTGGATATGGAATGGGCTACAGAAGTCTGGATCTTGCAACGTTTAGACAAACGAATGCAAATCACTGCAAAAGTTAGTGGCTGTCTGACCCCCCCCCCCTTTGATCCCCTTCTCTTCCTCTCTCCCCCCTTTCTCCCCCTCCCTCTCCCTTTTTCTCTCCCCTTCCCTCTCGCTCTTTCTCTCTCCCTCTGTCTCCCTCTCCCCATCTCCCCTCTCTCCTTATTCCCTCTTCCTCTCCCCCTCTCTTCCCTTGCCTCCTCTCCCCCTCTTCCTCTCCTCCCTCTTTCCTTCTCCCCCTCCCTATTTCTTCCTTCCTTTCCCCTTCTTCTCCCTCTCTCCCTCTCCCCTTGCCTCCCTCTCCCTGAACAATTCCTATTGGCTTTTGAAAGCCAATAGAATTAGACTCTATTCAAGAGAGTCTATTCTATTGGCTTTCAAAAGCCAATAGAATAAAAGGGAGTAGCACAGCTAAGGAAAAGGGGGAAAAAATGGCGGACTGCGTTGTTTGTCGGCCCCCGTGAAATGGTCGTTCGACCCCCCAATGGGGTCCCGACCCACAGGTTGAGAACCACTGTTCTAGAGTCTCAACCTCTTTTTTACATCGTGGTGACCAAAACTGGATGCAGTATTCCAAGTGTGGCCTTACCAAGGCCTTGTAAAGTGGTATTAATACTTCATGCGATCTTGATTCTCTCCCTCTGTTAATGCAGCCTAGCATTAATAAAGGGTTATTAGGGCTCAAGGTGGTTTGCTTACTTCCACGTTTCCTTGGTCTGCGTCACAAAGAAGCATTCTTAACTCCAGGAGAAATAAACATCAACAACAGAAGCCCCAAACACCTGGCCCAAAAAGAGGTAGCGACAGCCACAAGGACCCACAGTTCAACCCTGAGCTACCAATATTTTCTTCTCTTTGTCTTAATTAATTTCTACACCAGCCATCTCAGCTAATTGACACAGGGCAGTTTAGAACAACAGAATAAAACATCGGTTCATTTGTGTTTTAAATTTTTTCTTTTAAATTTTAATTAAGCCTGTATTCAGCTCTGGGAAGGTTGGGGGAGGGTTGGGGTGGGTTGGGAGGGTTGGGGGAAGGGAACTTTTTTTTTTGTAAAATTTTAAATATTTTCAATAAAAAAAACATTATAAACACATGAATAAAAACACAGATTAAAAGTATTTGAAACAAGACACGACGTTCAGGTGTTTGGCTTTGCTGGTTTCTAGCACGTATTTTCTTAAATCAAACTGTTCTTAGTTATTTCTGTAAGTCACCCAGAATCACCATGAGTGAGTTGAGCAACCATATAGGTTTTCTCAATAGATGAATGAATGAATGAATGGTTGAATAAATAAATAAATGAACAAATGGATGGATGGATGGAATGGATTGATAAATGAACCAATAAATGGATGGATGGATGGATGGATGGATGGATGGATAAATGAACCAACAGATGGATGGATGGAGAAATAAATAATGAAAGGTTGGCTGGCTGGCTGAATGAATGAATAAATGAACCAACGAATGGATGGATGGATGGATAGATAGATGAACCAATGAATGGGTGGATGGATAAATAAATGAATCTGTCAGAATCCAATTATATTTCAATTATATTACAGCTGGCAGTAATGAAAAGGGGGTGGAAGTGTAATGCCTGAGACTGTCGCTGAAAGAGGGGGATGATTGGGTGGGGCTACTGGGGAACCTCTTAAAACCTTGAATGGGAGAGCTTGAACCCCAAGTCCTGTCTAGAACGCCTGCAACCATTTTCTCTTAATAAAGGATTCCTGTTGGAAGAATTATTCTAAGAGTTCTGTCTTCTTAAGATGCAAAGTGGGGTGGGTCCTTATAGTCCAATAGATGGCTGGATGGATGAAGGAACCAATGGTTGAATGAATGAACCAATGGATGGATGAATGAACCGATGGATGGATGGATGGATGGATGGATGGATGGATTAATGAATAAATGAAACAATGGATGGATGGATGGATGGATGAATGGATGAATTGATGGATGGATGAATAGATGAATGAATGAATCAATGGATGGATGGATGGATGGATGAACCAATGAATGGATGGATGGGTGAATTAATGAACAAATGAAACAATGAATGGATGGATGGATAAATGAATGAATAGATGGATGAATGAACCACTGGATGGATGGATGATGGATGGATGGATGGATGGATGGATGGACCAATGAATGGATGGATTGGTGGATTAATGAATAAATGAAACAATGGATGGATGAATGGGTGGATGGATGAATGAGCAACTGAATGGATGGATGGATACCAAAGCTGCTCTGCTTCTGGCAAGGAAGCCCGCAGATGCTTCAACTTTCAGGGGGGTCTTTTGGGGGGGTGCCTTACCACAAGTTGTGTACCAATTTCTGTCCCCCACTTTGCCCACTGCCTCTCTCGGACCAGGGCAAGCCTGCTCTTGTGCCTCTCACCAACTCTGAGGGGGAGGCCACTGGAGGTGACCCTTCTGCTCAGCCCTTCTCCCTTCCACCAGCCCTGCCCCACGGCTAGACAAAAGGAAAACAGAGTCGCTGGCTAATGGTTTACCGCAATTGACATGGTCGATTGGCTGTTTCGCCTGCCGTTGGTTTCCGAAATGGGGTCTTCGTCCTTTTCAGGAGGGGTCTCATCATCTTCCTATTAGCATAGGGGTCTGCAACCAGTGCCCTCCATATCTCTCTTGCACTTCTGCAGAGGTGGAAAAAAATAGATTTGGACCAATCAGATTCTTTCCCCCTTTCAGAAGAGACTGTCAGTCCAGAGGTGAAAAAGCTCCAATGGATTAGAGAACTGATGGAGCTTGCGGTGATGGCCAAACTAACGGCTTTCATCCAAGAAAAGAAATATACAGGTCGTTATCCCAAAGATGCTTTTTCACGAGGCAACGGGACTTTTTTGCTTCTTTGTTTTTTCCTTTGAAGACGTTTCGCTTCTCAGCCAAGAAGCTTCTTCAGCTCTGACTGGATGGTGGGCAATGAAAGGACTTCTCTTCCTTGCAGGCAGCTGGTCGTTTGCATTCTTTCTGCGAGTCGTTCAAGCTACCTGGAAGCTTATCTGTGTCTTCAGGGTCACCATCTTCAGTCTTACACAACAAGACAAAAATCTTTCTTGGACGTCTAGAATGAATGAAACCCTTCCGTTCCCCTTCAGTCAGATCTTCCGGGAGGAGAAGCGAAACGTCTTCAAAGAAAACAGAAAAAGAAGAAAGTCCAGTTGCCTGGTGAAAAAGCACCTTTGGGATAAGGAGGACCTGGATGAGTGGGAATCTCCGTGGACAGTTATGCAGGTAGTTCTGGACTTACAACAGTTCGTTTAGTGGCCGTTTGAAGTTACAACGGCATTGAAAAAAGGGACTTATGACCAGTTTTCACCAGTTTTAAATGCCGAGTACCACTACAGGTCACAGCCCAGCCGAGCTGAGATGGGGTCGTCGACTAATGACAAAGTTGGACCGTCTCCATCCTGACAGAGCAGCTACAGAAACGTCACAACCGAAGCCTCCAAGGAATTTATGTTTGGGTGAGCCTGTTTTGGGGCAAGAAACTATGGGAAGGGAGCACCTTGGGTGGTTGCTATTGTGACAAAGGTGCAAGGGCCACTATCCTACGAGGTGGCCTTGTGTGACAGTCGTGTGGTCCAACACCACATTGATCAGTTGCGGCGGCGGCTGGCAAGGCAGAGTCTTCGTGCAGAGGACGAGAGAACTATAGACTTGCATAGGGAAGTGGACATTCCCAAATAGGCCAGACCCACAGAGACTGTACGAGTTGATCCAGAATCAACGCAGAAAACGAACCATGTTTGCCGGCAAGTGACGCAAGCGAAAACAGCGGTACAAGTTTATTCGGTTTGGCCGAATGCAGCCGGACCCGTCTACCTGGCACAGACAGACTTAGCGGCACGGGTCTACTGGGTATGGCTAAATGGCAAGTTCATCGGGAGCCCCAAACAGTTTTGGAGCGCTCCAAAAGAACCCGTAATCCACCAGCATACTTAAATGATTATGTACACAAAATGTACTGGGGGTTGACTTGTCCAAGGGACCGGGGTGTATTGATAGTGAACATTAATGTGTTTGGGTAAATGTGTCTCCAACTGTTTTGGAGGGAAACTGAAGTTTATATTTGAGGGGATAACCAGCTCTAAATCTGACCGTCACCGGTTGAGTTCAGTTCTGTTATTCTTGCAATAATACATATTGCATTAGATCGGTCTGGTCAATGCCTTCAAGAAGTCACTACGTAACAAACTGCATCTAAAAACCAGCAATATTTCATTTTTGGTGACAACATCACCCATCATAACGATCTCCCAACAAGCCCCCTCTGAGGACACGGACTGGCTATACGAAGGCCAGACTGTTCTGATATTATTTTGTTTCTTTGTTGTATTCCCCTTTTCCTCTGATTTCACTAGTTTATTCCCATATATAAAATTGTCTGATTGCACACTTGTTCCTTCTGATGTAGGCCATATCAATTATGATTTAAGGTAGATACTTCTGGACTTTGGACACAAAGTTTAAAAACCTCAACCCGTGAATTTTATATAAAGCTTCCTGGATGAAGAAATTGGAATAGAAAAGAACAATAGAGGTTAAAAGAACATTAAAAGTTAAAAACAGGTCAGTTTCCCCCTCTTTCATTCCTACCTGTCCCCCCCAAAAGCCACAGCACATGGGGCAGCTGTCCCACGGGGGCTCCACATCAAGAGGGCTCGTTCACCCACACAAATCATCCATCATTCCAGTGGATGGAAACTAATTAAGGAGAGAACAACCTAGAACTAAGGAGGAATTTCATAACACTGAGAACAATTAACCAGTGGAACAACTTGCCTCTAGAAGTTCTGAATGCTCCAACACTTTTTAAGAAGAGATTGGACAACCACTTGTCTGAAATGGTATAGGGCAGTGATGGGAAACCTTTTAGTGACCGAGTGCCCAAACCGCAACCCAAAACCCACTTATCTGTCGCAAAGTGCCAGGCTGCATCAGCATTGTGGTACCCTCGGGGGGGAGGGGGCAGGGGGCATGGCCCACTGGGTGGGCATGGCCCCCTCATGGTCACAGCAGACTGGGTGAGCATGGCCAGGTGGGCTCAGTCGCTTCAATGTTGCTCATGATGGGGGACCCCTGTGGGTGCCGGGCAGGATTGGGGGCGATCCAGGGGGTCTCTGGTGGATGGGGCAGTGGGCAGAAGACTCATCCTGCAGGGCAACGCAAGGAAGGCAAGGCAGGGGCTGGGAAGGCTACTGCCTGACACCATCAGCAGCTGCTACTGGAGGGCCGGCCCGTATTCACAGCGGGCTACACAGCTCCTGCTGCCGGATGCTCTCAGCCCCGTGCGCTCACCGTCTCCTGTGTGAGCACCTTGGGGGCTGCCAGGCTGGGTGGGGCCAGGGCAGTGGGAGCCAGTCCCTCTCCATCTCCAGGGCATCCAGGGGGGCCAACACCGCTTGCTCGCCCACTTCCTGCCCCTTCGCTTCCAAATGCCACATGCTTGCTTGCTCGCTTACTCAGTGCCCCGTCATTTCCAAATGCTGCTTGCTCGTAACTTCCTGCCCAGTCGCTTCCAAATGCCACATGCTCGCTACTCTGGTGAACTCTGCTGGGGAAACAGCGCGCATGCCCACAGAGAGGGCTCTGAGTGCTGCCTCTGGCACAGGTGCCATAGGTTCGCCACCACTGATATAGGGTTTCCCGTCTGAGCAGGGGGTTGGACTAGAAGACCTCCAAGATCCCTAACAACTCTGTTATTCTGTCATTCCTAGGTTCATAGGCCTGGAAGGCACCTTGGAGGTCTTCTAGTCCAACCCCCCGCCCAAAGCCAAAGAGGTAACCTCCCCATCACGGATGAGTCACAGACCCTCACTCGACAAACCCACACCTGAAGCCCTTACAAGCAGAACACCGACATCCCACAAACCCAGCCTGGTAATGAAACATTCGGAAACCAAGCAGAAGCTCGGAGGACGAACCTCCACCCTCGTCCTCCACCCCAGCTACAGATATTCTCCACTATCACGAATGATTGAGAATCTCCGTAGACCGTAAGAAAACAGGAGTCGTCATCTCCTTGAGGTTCTTACTGATCGCAATCCGGGGAGCGTTCCAGGAGAAAGTCCAACACTTCTTTCACCCATTTAGAGGCCAGGTGACACACGGACTTCAGGGTGTTTTGTTTTGTGGCCGGTTCACTGATGTTGGGGAGACGATGGTAAATTTCCCTGAGGATCGTGGGTACCTACGGCAAAACAGAGATCAGAGGAATGAGATCCAGTGTCGGTCTCCACTGGAGATGCAGTGGAGTTGATCACTCCCACCCATTGGGGAAAAAAATTGGCCCCCACAGTGTCAAAGTTTGCCTTACATTTTGGAAAAAAACATCTGGTTTATCAAGCCCCGTGTGATATGGACAACACTGAACCGAATTTGCACTGGCCACAGTAGATGCGCGGAGGCCCTCTATAAATGGGACAAAATATCATCACAGAATTGTGACTGTGGGCCCAAAAAAATCCTCTATCCAACTGGCTCTCTAAATAAACTTTTCATGAAAACAACATGTCTATTTTGTTTTGCCCTTACCTTCTTCTGGAAGGTTTACCCAACTTTATACCCTTAAGATTACCTGGTGGTCTCCCATCCAGCCCTAACTTTCTTAAAGCCAGCCAAAGTGTTGTCATCACCAAGAGGGCCTCAGAGCACAAGGTCTCATCCATTCTCATCCTTCTTTTCTACAAAATCTCCTATATCCCTTTTGCTCCAAACCCTCCATTTCTTACTTCCTCCATGTCCATACAACATTCCTCCAGGAAGGAAAGGAGTAGTACTCCCGCAGCCTGGCAAATGGTCTTCTCCTCATGTGTGAGAGCCTCAGTGATTTTCAATGTCATCAATGTGATGTTTATGGGGGAGAGATGCTCACCAAAGGCCTATCGGAGAGAAGAAAAGGAGACCACACAGAGATGAATCAGGGTTTTTGACTTTCTTGTCTCTACAAGGGGCGGGGTGTTCAAATACTTTGACCCAGATTTGGGAAAAGGACATTGTACAGAGAGGCAGGGCTTATTCCATGTTGTCAATCACGTTCACTGATATTAGGGTGTGGGTAAAAAGAAGCCAACATGGCAGCTTCAATTGCCTCTTCCAGCCATTACAATAGAATAGCAGAGTTGGAAGGGACCTTGGAGGTCTTCTAGTCCAACCCTCTGCTCAGGCAGGAAACCCTACATGATTTCAGACAAATGCTTGTCCAATCTCTTCTTAAAAACCTCCAGTGTTGGAGCATTCACAACTTCTGGAGGCAGGTTGTTCCACTGATTAATTGTTCTAACTGTCAGGAAATTTCTCCTTATTTCTAGGTTGCTTCTCTCCTGGATTAGTTTCCATCCATTGCTTCTTGTCCTGCCTTCAGGTACTTTGGAGAATAGCTTGACTCCCTCTACTTTGTGGCAGCCCCTGAGATACTGGAACACTGCTATCCTGTCACCCCTCTTCATTAAACTAGACATACCCAATTTCTGCAATCGTTCTTCCTCTGTTTTAGCGTCCAGCCCTCTAATCATCTTTGTTGCTCTTCTCTGCACTTTTTCTAGGGTCTCAACATCTTTTTTACATTGTAGTGACCAAAACTGGATGTAGTATGCTTAGTGTTGCCTTATTGAGGCACTACAAAGTGGTATTAACCCTTCACATGATCTTGATTCTAATACATTCTTATGCATTCATCCCATGGATTGTATGGGATGAACAGCCAAACTCCAGCCTTTGGATCATGCCCTCCCCACTGTTACACTGTCTTTTTGGAGCATCTCCAGGTCCTAAGGAGGAGGACAGAAAGGAAGGTCAAGAAGAAGAAGGCAAAAGGCTGGACTAAAACCTACCTTAGCCATTTTGGAAATGTCGTTATAGAAGATCCCTGGGCCCGAACTGAGGAAATCCTCTTTTGCCCATCTTACTGTCTTTCCCTTCTTATTTTTTGGCTTCTTCTCCATCTCTTGAGCTTTGTAGGGAGGGAAAAAACCACAAGGTCAGATTTTGGCCTTCAGAACCTCTGAACATCCTTTTCCCGACTGCTGGTTTAGTCGTTCCAACCGAAGAGAAAATGTGTAGCTCAGGGCTGAACTGGGGGGTTCCTGCTGCTCTCTGAGCCTGGTGGTTTTCTTGCAGACGTTTCAAGACCCAGCTAGGAAACATCATCAGTGTGTTGATCCAAATTAGGAGACAGCATAGGAAGTATCAATTGTGAATATGTGCTGACTTTGGGCCCTTGCAGAGTCATGGAGGCAGGTCGTGAAAGGGCAGCAAGAAAAACAGCCCATGTCCTAACCCACCCGGGAACGTCCGAGGTCTTTAGGGAAACCCCCCAAAGCTACTTCTGCTTTCTCCCTTCTTAGCTACAGTGTGCCAGACTTACGGGGCGAAATCCTGATCTTATGTGTGTGTCAGCACTGCCGGGTGGATTGCTTATGTAATCAGAAGGAATAAATACACGGATTTCTTCTCATTCGGGGCTTTGTTCAGCTGAATAAAAATGTAAAGCTTAAAGGGAACTTCTGGTTTCCTGTATTTTTTTATCAAGCAACCCCTCAGAACCTGCACAGCAAGTGATGATGGCCATCAGTGCTGAGAGGGCGAAACACAGAGAAAAGGTCTTGAAAGGTCTGCAAGAAAACCACCAGGCTCAGAGAGCACTAAGAACCCCACCCAACTGTCATTACCTGGCACCATCCTCAGGCCCTGTGTGTGTGTGTGTGTGTGTGTGTGTGTGTGTGTGTGTGTGTGTGTTACGTATTGCTGTTCTGAGGACCTTGCCAAACAAACATTTGCAAAGAAAAGAATGGCTGTCCGAGCTCAGCCTTGCTGTGTAGGGTGACAAAAATTCTTGCTAAAAGGAAAAGGAACCTGGGCAGGGGAACTCTCGAACCCCAGCCTGGTGCATCTTTGCATTAGGGTTGGTGATGCTAAATCAGGCATGCTCTCTCTCTCTCTCCCCTCCCTCCCTCTGTCCTCCCTCCCTCCCCCTCTCTCTCCCCCCTCTCTCCCTCTCTCTCCCTCCCTCCCCTTCCTCTCTCTCTCCCTCCAAAAACATCTGGATTATCCAGCCTCATGTGATATGGACAACACTGAACTGAATTCGCACTGGCCACGGTAGATGTGCAGAGTCCCTCTATAAATGAGGCAAAATATGATCACAGAATTGTGACTGTGGGCCCAAAAAACCCCTCTATCCAGCTGGCTCCCTAAATAAAGTTTTCATGAAAACAACCTGGCTATTTTGTTTTGCCCTTACCTTCTTCTGGAAGGTTTACCCAACTTTATAGCCTTAAGATCACCTGGTGGTCTCCCATCCAGCTCTAACTTTCTTTAAACCAGCCAAGTGTTGTTGTTGTTGTGTTGAAGGATTGTGTGGGTGTTTCTCAAACCTGGCCATTTTAAAGGCCTGTGTGGACTTCATCTCCCAGAATTCCCTAGTAAGCCAGCTGGATTCTGGGGGTTGAAGGCCACAGATGCCACAAAGTTTTCCTTCCTGATCCCCCGCACAAAGTGTTTGGAGAACATTTGTGATGTTCCCTTCCACATCTCTTACATAAGAGAGATATCTCAAGGTTAGGGTTTTTATCATATTTACGGAGTGTATATTGGAGATGGTGTGGGATTCGTTGTCTAGTTTGGAAGAAACAATTGCCAGCCAAAACTTCCAAGAGAAAGCAGTGGTACTTTATTTTTACTACTTTGCAAAGAGGATGTATCATGTACTTGCAGGTACAGTGCACACACCTTAAAATCATCAATATAATTTCTTTATATTCCCTATAACCATCACAAATTTACCTCCCACCTTTCCCTCATTGGCTGAGTACTCAGGCCGTCACAACCTATCCAAAGCGCCTAAAGTGAATACATTATTCCCCACCTCTGATTACATCTCCCACTCCTCAAATTCTATCACCCCCTGCCCTTATTTACAAATTAACTTTTATAGCTGTTAGTTCCTGTGGGCTGCCTCTGAATCAACCATCGTGTCAACTAATTCTGGTTAAAACTAGTTTTGAGCATTGCAGGGGCCTCTGATCCTGACTCCTACGTTCAGTTTCCATGCTTAAGCAGAATTCATGAGATTAGAAATATGTATAATGGATTCTTCCAAGGATTAGCCTGCCCTTCTACGGTTCCTGCAAAAACAATAGGTTCTTTTTCCCACCATGCTGACCCTTTAAGAGCTGTATGCAATGAAATTTCATTTTAATGTATGCCGATTAGTATACATTTAAAGTGATAATAAAGTTATTTCTATTCTTCTCTTCTCTTCTATTTTCTGTACTATATTATATTCTATATTTTATTCAATTCTAACTTCTCTTCTATTCTGTTCTCAACTATGATAACGTTAAGATGGAGGTCTGGAAATGGAGTCATGGCAACTGGATTTATTTTTATTAGGTGAGAGGTTTTGCGGCTTCTCCAAGCAGCTTCTTTGGTCTGAACCTCTTGGATAAGGGGATTCTGGGTAGGCAGAAAGCCGTTGGAATGTACCAACTCCTGGGGGGTCTTTATGGGTTCATGGCCTTGATCTTCCTGGGGGCTGATGAGAGAGCAGCCCAGAAAATGGGGGACAGGTTGTGTCTGAGGCCTCCGTCTCTGTTGAGCGAAGGAGCCTCCGCTTCGGCCCAAATGGATTCCCTCGCTCTCTCTCAAGCCATCCATCTTCCCTGTCCAGAATGTGGGTGTTGTGTCCCCTCCGAGCCCCGATCACAGCCAAGGCAGGAATGTCTTCCCTTTGGGGCTTCTTTCCCACTTGATCCGATGATGGCCGGGAAATGCTCCTCCTGAGCCCCAGGCAGGGACCCCAGAGAGAGAAAGGGGGAAGAAAGGACCTCACAGCACCTCCAGGGCAATTACGAAGGGGGAGAGCAAAAGAGACGCTGCTTCTCTCATTCTGCAGCTTGGGGGCAAATCAGCCAGCCGTGTGTGGCAGCAGCCAGCAATGCTAATGCAACCCTTGGTTGTGTAAACAGAGGGATGGAATCCAAATCACGTTAAGTTTTAGTATCCCTTTATAAATCCTTAGTAAGAGCAGGATAGCAGCATCTCAATATTGGAGGGGCTGCCACAAAGAAGAGGGGTCAGCTTATTCTCCAAAGCACCAGAAGGCTGAACGAGAAACCACGGAGGGAAAGTAATCAAGCAACCTGGAATTAGTGAAGGTGAAACTTCCTAACAGTGTGGACAGCTTTGCCTTCAGAAGTTGCAGGTGCTTCATCACTAGAGTTTGTAAGAAAAGACTGGACAGCCACCTGTCTGAAAGGGTATAGGGTCTCCTGCCTGAACAGGGGGCTGGACTAGATGACCTCCAAGGTCCCTTCCAGGTCCATTCTGATTCAACATAGACCCATAAAAGCTTTCGCCTGCAGACAGCTTTGTGTATATCACCCCAGACCATGGACCATCAAGGACATTTTAGATTCCTTGAAACCCATTAAATTGATTACATGGAATTACACTCCTGAAAAAAGAAATCCAGAGGCTTTAGGTTTTCTCTTTCACCCTTGTGTTCAGATCCGGCCTTAGTCCAACCGTGTAACCTTTGGGGAGGGACTCTGCTCAAGCCCCCGGGAGGTTCAGCTGTTTGGGGGGCTTTTCTGAGGTTTGTTCAGGCGCCTCTTGCAGCAAAGGCCTCCCCAGGCCCTCCAGCCCTGGGACCCTCCGGGACTCTCCCCAAAGAACCGGGGGGGCTGCGGGTCTTTCTCCCCCCGCCTCCCTCCCCCTTTGGGAACCTTCCCTGACCCCGGCTGGAGAAGAGCCGAAGGCGGAAGAGAGGAAAGAAAGTCTCCCCGCGGCTTTTTCGCCCCCTGAAATGGAGGGAGAAGGAATCCCCTCAGGCCACAAAATGGAGGACGCCCTTGAAATGGAGGGAGAAAGAATCCCCTCAGGCCACAAAATGGAGGACGCCCTTGAAATGGAGGGAGAAAGAATCCCCTCAGGCCACAAAATGGAGGAGGCTGCAGGGTCCTTTGGCGGCTTTAGCTGTCCCTCTCACTGCCTGTGGAGGAGAGCCCGGACTTCAGGGCCAGGCCGCAGACTTCGCCTGGATCCCAGAGATGTTCAGGGTCCCCGGTGGGAAAGTTGCTTCTCCCAGGAATAATTATCCCTCTCTTGGAGAGTTCTCCTGCTACTTCTCCAATGACTGTCTCCAAGGTAAACTTCAGACTGAAGCAAAATGGAAGAGCTTTTCGTCAGAGAAGGGTAGATTTCTTCCGTCACGTTGTGGGGGGCACAAGTTTTCAGACAGGCAGAGGCTGCGCTTGAGTCTTCTTTTCTTGCTTTTCCAAACAAAAGTTGCTTTGTCTCTGTCTGAGTCAGGAAAGCCACCAACATTTCCATTTTGTGTGAGTGCTTTGAATTCTAACCTGCCTTTTGTTTTTGTTAAGATCTGGGGAGGAGATTGCTTCAGCCCCAAGAACGATGGACCTTCTGCTCCGGATGCTGTTGGTGTCCCAGTCCGTCTCTGGGAGGCTTCGAACGAAGGGCCGGCTGAGTTTGGGCCACCAGGGTGAAAAACAGCCATGGAGCTATCACAGGCCAGGAGACCCCCTCACCGCTCCGATCCCCCCTGGAACAGAAACCTCGCCTAGAGTCTTCCCTTTCAACCGTGCTCCATCCGGTTCCTTCGTAAGTCCTTCAGGGTGATGGAGTTCCATTCCCTCCATTTGCACCCTTAATACTCTTTTTTCCCCTCCTTATTTCATCTAGGTCTATTTTACAGGACCTGTCCAAGTCCCTGAAAGATTTTGATTTCTATTGCTCTTTTTTCTTATTTTGTGGAAGAAACTCAATTCAAAAATGGGGATGAACAAATTGAACAAAGTTGAGATTATTTTCCTCTCCCTGTAGATTCTTCGGTTTGTTACTTGATTACTGAACTAAATGATCTTTTGGTTTTGGATCAATGTAGGCCTAAGGCTCAGTAGCTTAAGGAGACAAAGAGGATTGCATTTTTAAAAAAAGAATTTGTTAGTGGTATGATGATAATAACATGAACATTTTTTTTACATTTTCTTTTGGTTATTCAGAAACCCTACGCTTTGCTTTTGCTATTCAACTGGTCAACAAGAATTTCCAGCTGCTGCACAATCTCACACTTGGCTACAACCTCCACGGCAACTATTTGAGCCCTTTAAGCGCTTCAGTCGCCTTGCTGGACCTTCTCTTCACTGGAGAAGCCGATGTCCCCAATTATGGCGGTGGAAGGAGGGACAATCTTTTGGCTCTTCTTGATGGAGCTGCCAGGGATATCTCCAACCAGGTGTCAACCTTAGCAGGCACTTACAAAGTCCCACAGGTTTGTGTGTGTTTTTTCCTCTATCTGATAAAGTGAGTGGGTTGGTGATGGGTAGCAATAGATGCCATCATATCTTCTCCATGGAATTCAAGAGCTGCTTTTCACCATCTCAGTAAACTTGGTTTTTTTCATGTTCAGATTCGTCATAAATGGCCTGAAGAGCAATAAGGTCCCTGGAAAGCAGATATTCAGATGTTCAAAAAATATCCCAAGTTGTGAAGCCCTATATTGGCATGTTCATTTCACATATAAATAATATCTATAATGTCCAGTTGGATTCAAGTTGGCAATAATAGTATTTCTATATATAAATAAAATAGAATAAATAGGACTCTAGAAATTACAGGTTAGGTAGACTAAGAATGACAAAGTTACCCGGAAACGCTTATATCGAATTGAAGTTTGGTGCTTAATATATATCACTACTAAAACAATCCAAATCTCAGCATCTGAGGAGCATCCTAGAGGTAGACAAAAGGACTTCAGCTACTGCCCTCAGAGCTGAATTGGGAATTTATGCAATTTGTCTTTTCTCTTGAATGTTAATATTAATTGAATATTAGTATTCAATTAAAGCAATGAAACCTAAAAGACTCCCAAGAATAGAACTGTAAAGTTTCAGTTAAACACACCCTGGATTTTTCAACTGACAGATTATATTAGGAGATGTGATCTTACTTTCTCTTGTTCAACTGGAGAGCACATCTATGTCAGATGCCTAAGAAAGAGAGAGATCTTATTCTGGGCCATCAGAATTAACATTTACATAGAATACAACCCATTTATTTTCAGTCCTGCTATTTCTCCACGCTGTTCTTTTTTTCCAGTAGATTATTTTTTGTATTATATTTTTTATTAATTCTTTTGCAAGCATAAGTCACTCAATAATTGGTAAACAGTGTGTTGTCTGGGTTACATTTGTAAAGACACACCTTAACAATTGACTTCTATAGTCTGTATTCCATATATTAATTTTAGTTGATTTCCTCTTTCCCCTTTTTTGCAAACATTGAGTTAATACAATTCTTATTGTTTTAATAAAT